GTCCCTCCACGCGCCGGGGAGAGCCACGGGCAGGCATCGCTCCCGGGCGGTCTTAGCGCCGCCGAATACCCGGCGGTGGCGCCTTGGGGCTGCTCTACGGGCCTGCCGCCGGGCAGGGCTCCAGGCTGCGCCGAGCCGCCTGCGTGTGACTGACAGCGCGGTGGGACTGTTCGGGTCTGCTAGGTCCCAGCCTCCCCGCATGGCTGCTGACAGCGGGCGGGGAGAACACACTGGCCGCCGCGCCCCTTGCAGCCCTGCGAAGTGTCCTAGCCGGGAATCCCCCCGGTCCGTTTGCCAGGAAAAAACCAGCCCCTTGGAGCACGCTGCAGGGGGCCTGCCTAAATAAACCAGAGCGCATTGTGCCCAGGGCGCCTTGGGGGCCAGGGCCGAATGCCTGAGCCCTGCTACTCGGGGCTGAAGCCAAAGCCCAAGCAACTTAGCTTGACAGGGTCCCTTTTGGTGTGAAGCCCCAGTCGACTGACCCATTTACTACCCCCCTAGCATGGACCCTGGCTTTTAATCTTCTGCCTATTCAGAAAAACAAATACAGGTGCGTCGTGAAGGTTTATAGCGTGTTGGGATGAGAGAGGGGCCAATCCACAGCATCGGTCTTTAATCTTGTTCAGTCCACTTATGTCCGTGGAGGTGTCTTCGCTAAGGAAAACAAATGGATCTTTCACTTGAGTTAACTGACTGGAGGTAAAAGCCGATGGAGTCAGGGTAACTTGCAGTTTTCACACATATCAGCAGGCAAACTGCTAATGTATGTGAAAAGTTACACACTGCCTTATCTTTGCTAGGATTTTTTTTCAAGTTTATTAACTCAAGTTTGATAACTCAGTTTATGAATGTACCTTTTTTCCTAGTGAAGGCAAAGCCCAACTGTCTTCAGTAATCAGATGGTGGGATATGGCACTTTGTGTCACCCCAGAGCAATTTTGTGATTGTGTGATCAAAGTCCTTAGGAATAAAGGCCCTAACATGCACATTGCTCTGTCTCTGTCCTGAAGAGAATGGAGCCCCCTATTTATAAACATTTATTTGAATATAAGTGCACTTTGGCAACAAATTCCTTGGTGCTGCTTTTTTCTCAAATGTGTACTGTCACCAAAACGCTTATTTGAAATAACACCATAGGGCAGAATACAATCAGTGAATTATGATAATACTGTTATTTTTTAAATGTTTTCAATTTTGGCAAAGATTGTACAATGGAAAAGGTTATTTCTTATTTAAGTATCATGGCAATACTAAATCAACAAATCTTACGGGGTAAGCTACAATATTTAATGCAAACAAAATGACTGAAACCTTTAAAAATATTAGTCCAAAGCATCTGATCCTCACATGGTAAAACGAGCCCATTTATCAGAGCCAGATTTCCAATTAGGCACAGTAAGCACCAGTGTTACCGCTAAGATTTTCTATCCATGAGCGGAGTAAGTTTTGTCTTGTGCACAAATACTGAGATCATAGAATACTAGAATTGGAAGGGACCTTGAGAGATCATCAAGTCCAGTCCCCTGCCCTCACCATGGTGCAGGACCAAGCACCATCTAGATCATCCCTGATGGATGATATTCTGTCTATCAGTCATTACTGGACCTATCCTCCATGAATTTATTTAGTTATTTTTTGAGCCCTGTTAGAGTCTTGGCCTTCACAGCATCCTCTGGCAAAGAGTTATGTAGGCTGACTATGTGTTATGAGGAGAAATACTGCCTTTTGTTCCTTTTAAACGTATTGCCTATTCATTTAATTTGGTGACCCTTAGTTCTTATGTTATGAGAAGGCATAAATAGCAGCTCCTTGTTTACTTTCTCCACACCAGTCATGATTTTATAGGCCTTCTATCACATCCCGTTTAGTCATCTCTTTTCTTAGCTAAAGAGTCCCAGTCTTTTATTAATCTTTCCATCTTTTTATTTATTTATTTATTGAGAGGAGACATCCACATCTGCATGCTGTATTCAACTTGTGGGTGTTCCATGGACTTAGATCCAGGTGATATGGTATTTTAGAATCATAGAATACTGAGCTGGAAAAAACCTCAGGAGGTCATCCAGATCAGCCCCTTGCCCAAGTCAAGAGCAATCCCAACAAAATCAATCCAGCCAGGACTTTGTCAAACCTAATGAAATAGTTTTTCCTAATATCCAACCTAGACCTTTCCCACTGTAACTTGAGAGCACTGCTCCTTCTTCTGCCATCTGTCACTACTGTGAATGGCCTTTCTCCATCCTCTTTGGAACCTCCGTTCAGGAATTTGAGGGCTGCTATCAAATCCCCCTTCGCTTTCTCTTCTGCAGACTAAACAAACCCAAATCCCTCAGTCTCTCCTCACAGGTCATATGCTCCAGCCCCCTAATCATTTTTGTTTCCCTCCACTGGACCCTCTCCACTGGACCCCACATCCTTTTTGTAGTGGGGGGCCCAGAACTGGACACACTACTCCAGATGTGGCCTCACCAGAGCCGAATAAAGGGGAATAATGACATCTCTGGATCTGCTGGCAATACTCCTCTTAATACAACCTAATATGCCATTAGCCTTCTTGGCTACAAGGGCACACGGTTGACTCATATCCAGCTTCTCATCCACTATAATCCCCAGGTCCTTTTCTGCAGAACTACTACTTAGCTGGTTGGTCCCCAGCCTGTAACAATGCTTGGGATTCTCCCGTCCCAAGTGCAGGACTTTGCACTTGTCCTTGTTGAACCCAGCGCCCAGGGTTTGCAGAAAGTAGGGTGCTGGGGGTGGGGCAGTGACATGTGGGGAAGCGGTGGGAGGGAACCAGCAGGGGGATGAAGAGGACTGCTCTGAGAGGTAGAGGGCAGTAAAAGGGGAAGAGGAGTGTGTGAGGGGGAAACAGGGATTCAGGGAGCCCTGGCTCCAGCCCTGGCCCTGGCCCCAGGAGGAGCTGCACCATAGCCCAGCTCCAGATCCAGCTCCAGCTCCAGCTCCAGCAGTTGCCCACCACAAGGCCTGCCCTGAGAACAGCTTGGCAGCCACCACAGAGCTCTGGCTGCACCTCCAGCCCTGCCCCCCCACTCTCCCACCAAGCCCACCACACCTTACATGTCCAAAGAAGGTGAGTGCTGTTGCATGACTCTGCTAAGGAGGTAGGTGCAGCCGTGGACCCTAGAGGGAATTTTGGTAAACACATATCTAAGAACGCCAGTGTTATAAAGGCACGGGTTGACAAGTTTGCAATTGTGTAGTCCAGTTGAGCTACTTTTAGCTTCTAGTTGCCATATTTTTTAGAAGTTGTGTGTTGCAATATTTTGGACTATTTTGCTGCCAGGCAGTTGCAAGCCACCCTGCTGAGGAGTTTTCGTGAGGGGGGGGGGCCTTATCTGCTCCACACACTGCTTGTTCACGCTATGCCACCTCTCCTTAGGTGGCATTTGCAGCAAGTACAGAATTCTTGGCTGAGGGAGGTAGAATTATTTTTCTGCAGAAAATGTGCTGCAGTTCTCCCTTTTGACCACCAGAGGTCTTGTGGTGCAAGAACAGTCTGAGCTGACTGGTCTGCGGACAGAGGCAAACATCTAGCGGACCTGTGGTGAGTGTAGTCACAGCGCCTTCTTGGAGTCAAGTTAGGAGTCCAGTGATGCTGAAGGGACACAGGACCATATGGGA